CATTCATTCATTCATTCATTCATTCATTCATTCATTCATTCATTCATTCATTCATTCATTCATTCATTCATTCATTCATTCATTCATTCATTCATTCATTCATTCATTCATTCATTCATTCACGTTACCCTCAGGTTCAGGGTTGTTTGCCGACTCCCCAGGTATAATTGGAGCCGGGCGCGGAAACAGCCTTGTTTGATTTCCCGACGGAATCTTCAGAGTGTCTCCTGGTCAGCCGCCTCGCACTGAGGTGTTGAATGAATGAATGAATGAATGAATGAATGAATGAATGAATGAATGAATGAATGAATGAATGAATGAATGAATGAATGAATGAATGAATGAATGAATGAATGAATGAATGAATGAATGAATGAATGAATGAATGAATGAATGAATACTGTCTTGCCAATCTGATACTGCCCTGTCAATTTAACCCTGTCTAGCCGATTTGATATTGTCTTGGCGTATTGCTGACTTGATCTAACTGTCTTGTAGCCACCAATAGATCTACTTGGAGATGAAATGGTTCTTGCCGGGCTGGTATTATTAAAGAAAAGCAACGCCTTGTAGCGGGTAATCTCCCAGCAGACCCTACGCGGCTATGCATTCTATCGGCTATTAGCCCCCTATTAATACTGCCTTGCCACCGTAGGATCTGCTTGGAGATTACATATAGGGGCAGACAACGCTGTTAAAGTTCCCCTGACATTTGCCTCTACAGAAATGTCACCTCAGTTGCTGTACCCGCGAGATGCTTCGCTGGTCACGGAGAACGTTTCCGGCGCATCTTCAGCAGAACCGTGACGGATCCTGACGCTAAACGCCGCCGCTCGGCGCTTGTGTGACACCGCGAGACATTCCGCACTTCATAACTGTCACTCCGACGATATATCCATAGCCTCTACCAGGCTTCGGGAGGCGGCTGGAAAGAGTAGAAATCGGCCAAATAGAGAGATAACATGCTGGGGGAGTTGGTCTGCTGGGAGAGAACATTTTGCCGCACCCGTTGCGGCATGCTATCTCTCTATTTGGCCGATTTCTACTCTTTCCAGCCGCCCCCCAAAGCCCGGTAGAGGCTTAAATATTTCCGGCGCATCTTCAGCAGAACCGTGACGGATCCTGACGCTAAACGCCGCCGCTCGGCGCTTGTGTGTCGCCGTGTGACATTCCGTACTTCTTAACTGTCACTCCGATTATGGTTGTCAGGATTTTGAATGGGGCGGGGTTCTTCCTACTGCTTGAGGGGACCGGCAAGGCGCGAGGTTCCTAGGGGGGGGGGGTCCGGGGGCATGCTCCCCCAGGAAATTTTGAAAAATGAACATTCTGAAATGGCATTTCCTGCTTATTTGAGAGGATTTCAAAGACAAAATGAGAGATAACTTATTTCAATGACAAAGTGGGCAGTTTTCCTACGATTCCAGCCTCGCTGGTGACACGAACCAGTCTATCTTTTAAGGAAAAATCTTGGACATTTAGATAAAAAGTGGACCAAAAAGTGGACTTTCGAGCCTTGGGCGGGTGCATGCTTTGATGATGGTTGCCATTTTAAGAGAGAGAATCTGACGCTAAACGCCGCCGCTCGGCGCTTGTGTGACACCGCGTGACATTCCGCACTTCATAACTGTCACTCCGATGACGGTTGGTATTCTGACTGAGGGGGATTTTTTTGAACAAATACAAAAACCGTGAACTTAAAGATTTCGTGATCAAAAATGGACTTACAGTAGTCTCTACCAGGCCCCTGGGGATGCTTTTAAATAGTTGGCCGAATAAAATGAATACCAAACCAGAGTTGGTGGGCCAGATGGTTCAGCCATTTGGACCCTCCTTTGCATCCTAACTCCTCTGGTTAAAATGCTATCCTCACTATAGGAAAGATTTTGGCCAATTTTTACTATTTTTCTGGAGCGTAGTTAAACACGGGTAAAGTACTCGATATTCTCGTACACATGTACGTGTTTGTGCCGATCAAAAGTGGCCTCTAAAATCCACAATATACGTATGTGTACTAGTAGTGAGCTGTGGCGACTAAGTAAGCCACATTTATACACATTTTTGTACATGTGTGGCAGTTATTGAAACATTGCTTATTACACATAAAAAAAGCAAAGAGCAGGCATCCCTCACATTTCATTTGGTTTATTCCAGACATGATTTATTCTTTGTTGCCAGAAAGCCACTCGTGGCAATTAAAGCATAAGGATGAGACAAACAACAATTAAACTGAACAATGACAGAGGCATAGAAGTAATTTAGCTCTTAGGCCACACCAATTTATTTTCCTGGTTAACGGATTTTTCTAGAAAAATAATGGAGCGGGTTGGCGAAAAAAAATAAATAGAAACAGGCCTAGGCATCCTATTATGGCCCAAAATGGTACGATAGGAGCCATGAAGGCTGGTTCAAAATTTAAACAATGAATTTTGAACTTTTAATGATACCACTCCATTGAAAGATGGTATAACTAGGAAGAAACTTGTAAATCAAATCAATGTGCACCATTCAAATAGTTACAACGTAAAGAGAAAAAAATTGGAAATTGCATAATTTTATCAATGTGAAATAATTGTACCAATTGTACCACAGATACAACGTATACACATGTTTGATAGACCGTATACTTGATCACAGATGAATGTGGAAAGAATGACAATACAACTGACAAGTGTTAAGTAGTATGTACAGATCAACATTAAATATCCATGTCTTGTGACAGCTACATTACACACACACATATATATCTAGTTCACATCCACAAATAGTATCAGCTATATACTGGTGTGTTATGCCGAATGCTGGTTATACCAGCTATATCCATACAGATACTAGTAGTAGAATTCATACATCAGACTTTTCAGTAGATCCTCTCAAAAATCATGTGCACCTCCTATTTATTAACCATGTGCCTGCTGCACAACCCTTAACCAGTGCAGATTTGGTGCCAAATGTCTACCTTAGTCATCTAATGGTTAACCTTCTCCCTGCTGCCTAACCCTATAACCAATACAGATTTGGTGCCAAATGTCTACCTTAGTCATCTAATGGTTAACCTTCTCCCTGCTGCCTAACCCTTAACCAATACAGATTTGGTGCCAAATGTCTACCTTAGTCATCTAATGGTTAACCTTCTCCCTGCTGCCTAACCCTATAACCAATACAGATTTGGTGCCAAATGTCTACCTTAGTCATCTAATGGTTAACCTTCTCCCTGCTGCCTAACCCTATAACCAATACAGATTTGGTGCCAAATGTCTACCTTAGTCATCTAATGGTTAACCTTCTCCCTGCTGCCTAACCCTATAACCAATACAGATTTGGTGCAATGTCTACCTTAGTCATCTAATGGTTAACCTTCTCCCTGCTGCCTAACCCTATAACCAATACAGATTTGGTGCCAAATGTCTACCTTAGTCATCTAATGGTTAACCTTCTCCCTGCTGCCTAACCCTATAACCAATACAGATTTGGTGCCAAATGTCTACCTTAGTCATCTAATGGTTAACCTTCCCCCTGCTGCCTAACCCTTAACTAATACAGATTTGATGCCAAAAGGCTGCCTTAGCAGGCTAAAGGTAAAAGTGACAATGTATCATATGGACATACCATTCTCCTGTATGTCTGTACGTACAGTATGGTGCTATGGGTCAATGATAGGAATTCTATTCAATCTTTGCTCATCTTATACTCTACATTTGTACATCTAGTATGTCGGCAGAATGTGCTGTGCTGAGCAGAACGGTTTGCGTTGGATGTGTGGCTACCATAGCTTTTGCCAGTTGCACATAACTTCTTTCCCGACACAACATCAAAAGAGACATTTTGCCGAGGTCCTATGCACAATCCATTACGACTTTCATGCAGGCACAGTATATTCTGCCGACGACATACTTGTTTAACAAAGCTATAAGTAACCCACTGTAGATCCTGAATGATACCCTAGTAACATACTGGTCCAGAATAACCAACTCCTTGGAACCGACTCCTTGGAGATGTCTGTTCTATTCCTCCCCTGCCGGCAAGGCGTCTTCTAGTCTCCGGATGAACTTAAGACGAATTTCTGTGGTGTTGTCGCCCTTCAAGGCGTCTTGGAGAAACGTCACATCTACCTCCATTTGGACCTGGAGGAGCCAAGGAGAAAAAAGGGCAGGAAGGCATTTAATGTTACTGTAATCTATGTGGTGTAGTGGTAGCGTGTTCGGCCCAGACCCAAGAGGTCCCGGGTTCGAATCCTGCCTGGCGTCACCGAGCTTGTGCCCTTGGGAAAGGCACTTTACACGACTTTCTTCACTCCACTCAGGTGAAAATGAGTACCTAGCTTCGGTTAGGGCCGTCCCTCAGATAGGACGTTAAATGGAGGTCCCGTGTTTGGGAGAGCCACACCCCACACACGTTAAAGAACCCACCGCACTTATCGAAAAGAGTAAAGGACCTTCCCGGTGTGAGTGGTTCAAACATTACAGTCTGGTCTCGGGGTTGACATCTTGAAGAGGTGAAAGTCATCTGTGATGTAAATCCTTCCACAAATGTGGTAAATTGTCATAATGTTCTGGTTTTTCTTTTAATGCCCACGATCATAATAATGATCATTCTGGCATACTCATTTTCACCTGAGCGAAGTGAGGAAAGCCGTGTAAAGTGCCTTTCCCAAGAGCACAAGATCGGTGACATGGGCAGGATTCGAACCCGGGACCTCTTGGTTCTGGGTTGCGTGCTCTAGATCTGCCTTTACGCCAAACGACCACACAATGTTCTGCAGAGGGCAGGGAAGAAAACTTTGTTTTCATCATCTTTTTCCACTTAAACATTTTGCTTTAAGAATCCGTGAACCCAAAAATCACACTGGCACGCCCAAACCCTGACCAGCCCCTGCTACAAATTTAAAACTTGAGCTGGAGATGACAAGGGGATTTCTGGGTAACCGTTACAAAATAAAGACCGGCGGGTCCATATGTGAAAATAAAGACCGGCGGGTCCATATGTGAAAATCATCACTCAGATTATACAGGCCTGTTGTTAAGGCCTTTAATAATAAAACCAGAGCTCGAGCTGGTCCTGTTATTTCATGTCCTATTAAAGCGATCCTGCGTGCACCATTATAAAGGCACCCTGTGGTTCGGGTGCTTGTTAGGTTTTAGAGCCTGCAGGTAGGTTTTGATGTGAACATTTAGCATTCTGGGCATGTTTCTCTCTTTCCTTTTGTGTATTGCAGCTGTATAGAGAGTTTGGGATTGACTGTTGGGTTGTGAATGAATGAATGAATTTTTTTTCCTTGTGAAGTGTTTTTTTTTTAACCTGCATTTCTGCACAAGTTCTCCAGTGACACTGACGAAAGGTAGTGGATGCTACCTGAAACGTCTGACCGTTTCCAAAATCATATCCAGTTGCTTGAGTAACTGTTTTTTAGCATAAATCAAAACAAAACAACTAAAAAAGTAACATTTGCAAAGCAAATGCATGATGTTTACCTTCGGATATGGCCTGCTCTGTTAATTCTTTCTCAAACACATCCACCTACATGTATATGGTGACAGGAGTCTAAATGCCTACTATGAAACTTTGCAACATTATGTAACCCAACACCAGTTACCATGGTGACAGACGTCAACAAGTCATGTCATTGGTCAGGTCAGAGGTCACTGTTTGGAACGGAAGAAGAAGAAATGGTGCAAAAACAATATGTTTTCCTTCGGTAAACATAAAAAAAACAGACCATCTTGAGAGCGCCCCTGAGGACAGGTAGTGGATGCTACTTGAAACATCTGACCGTTTCCAGAATCATATTCAGTTGCTTGAGTAACTGTTTTTTTTTAGCATAAATCAAAATAAAACAAAAAGAAAACAGACTGACCATCTCGAGAGCGCCCCTGAGGACCCCGCTCAGCAGGTTGGAGTAGTTCAGGTTCTGGTGTCCGTCTGGGAGTTCCACAAACTCCTTTAGCGGGTTGTTATCCAGAACTAACGAGAACTCGTCCCCCGCTGGGCTCCAGTTGGCTACAGTCGGCGTGATGCCCAGGAACATCTTAAACCCCACCTGGAGTAAACAAACAAACAAACAAACAAACAAACTCCGTTAGCGGGTTGTTATCCAGAACTAACGAGAACTCGTCCCCTGCTGGGCTCCAGTTGGCTACAGTCGGAGTGATGCCCAGGAACATCTTAAACCCCACCTGGAGTAAACAAACAAACAAACAAACAAACAAACAAACTCCGTCAGCCGGCTGTTATCTAGGGTTTGCAAAAACTCTTCCTGACCTGGAGAAAAAATAAGGTGAAAATGGATGTTTTCACACTCAGTCATTCCACAAAGCTGGCAGGTCCCTGGTTGACTGCAAGGAAAAGTTTGATGGTGCAAAAGCGCCCTCTAGTGAGATATGTTGGTATTACAATCCAGGTCTGTTACCCTTTTATTAGTATTTTTACATGACTTTGATGATAAGAAATGTTTGCTTTTCGTGTTTCATGTTCTTCTTGTGTAGCTGTATGTATATAATTGCCCCGTGTTTCTTCTTGTATCATTGATATTGTGAAGTTAACACAATTCAGGCGTACTATGTAGTATGTACTCCTGTTATGTTGACTGATTTTAATAAAATTGATAAAATTAATGATTTATGTTAAGTAGACTGTTTGGCCATTTAATTTTTGTGCATGTTGCCTTGTACCTCTATTCAATTTTTATGGATTTTTTTTATGGCAAGAAGCTCTAGAGTGTGCATGTTGAGGGGAATGTTTGTTTGTTTGTTTGCTTGTTTGTTTGTTTGTACCTTCGCGATGACGTCGGCAGTTTCCCTGAAGTCGTGACATCTCCCCACGGACGAACGAGCCAAGAAGTCCTCGATCAGCCTCACTCCGATGTTGTAGCCCCTGCAGAAAAAATACAAACATGGTTTGTAGCAGTAGTCACATTGGTAGCCGCATTAGCGGTAGTGGTAGTAGTAGTAGTAGTAATTATAGTAGTAGTAGTAGTAGTAGTAGCAGAGGTAGTAGTAGTAGTAGTAGTAGTAGTAGTAGTAGCAGAGGTAGTAGTAGTAGTAGTAGTAGTAGTAGCAGAGGTAGTAGTAGTAGTAGTAGTAGAAGTAGTAGTAGTAGTAGTAGTAGTAGCAGTAGTAGCATAGTAGTAGTAGTAGTAGTAGTAATAGTAATAGTACTAGCAGTAGTAGTAGTAGTAGCAGCAGAGGTAGTAGTAGTAGTAATAGTAATAGTACTAGCAGTAGTAGTAGTAGTAGCAGCAGAGGTAGTAGTAGTAGTAATAGTAATAGTACTAGTAGTAGTAGTAGTAGTAGCAGCAGAGGTAGTAGTAGTAGTAGTAGTAGCAGAGGTAGTCATAGTAATAGTAATAGTAAGTTAGCAGTAGTAGTAGTAGTAGTATTACTAGCAGAGGTAGTAGTAGTAGTAGCAGAGGTAGTAGTAGTAGCAGTAGTAGTAGTAGTAGTAGTAGTAGTATAGTAGTAGTAGTAGTAGTAGCAGTAGTATAGTAGTAGCTATAGTACGAGTAAAAAACTCACATCTTGTCGAGCTGTAGCAGTAGTAGTAGTAGTACATGTAGTAGTAGTAGTAGCTATAGTACGAGTAAAAAACTCACATCTTGTCGAGCTGTAGCAGTAGTAGACTGTACTACAGCAGTACTAGCAGTAGTAGCAGTAGTAGTAGTAGCAGTAAGAGTAAAAAACTCACATCTTGTCGAGCTGTAGTAGTAGTAGTAGTAGTACATGTAGTAGTAGTAGTAAGACTAAGAGTAAAAGACTCACAAGTCAAGTCAAGTCAAAGTTTATTGCACAACGATTGTCACGGGTACAATGTATGGCAAATAATAGGATTACTAGTTGGTATGTGTCTAACATAATGCTATATATATGGTCAACGGACATTGTATCTGACAGAGTATTATAAATAGCTACTGGCTAGAGAATATTTCGACTCTACATGTACATTCTACATTACGCTAGACTATACACATGAAGGGTACAGTGAGCAGTTGTACCTAATTATACTAAACATGTTCTATGGCTACTAAACAGTGTATACTAAGTTACTTGCCAGGAATGTTAAGATTCTACATACAAATGCTACGAAACGCTATGCTATATACATGTAGTTGATAAAAAATTCAGTGACTCTACTTATACAGCTATTCTAAGATGTCTTTTTTGCATGGCATTATAAATGTATTGACCTATATATACAGAAAATGTGTCTGGACATGACATAAGTACATGGAACGTCTCTCTAGATGTGTTGGGTAATGTTTTAGTAGTCTTACATCGGATCATCTGCATTAATTTGCGTCTCTCTTCGTCGTATGTGGGGCATGTCATCAGAAAATGATATTCGTCTTCAACTCCATCTTTGCACGTAGGACATAATCTCTGACTGGCTGGTATATTGTTGTGTCTGCCTTTTTTCAATCTCTAGGCAGTGTGCTCCGATTCTTAATTTTGTGGTATTAACTATAAATGATTTGTTTTGAACAGATAGGAGATAGTTCTCGATGTGAAAGTTCTTTTTTATTTTTGAGTATGTTTCAAGTTTTTTAAAGCTATTTATCTTTTGCCTCCAGCCCAGATAGAAATCCGTCCTTAAGGCGCTCTTTGAAAATGAATCCGAAATATTTGGCATCTGTAATGGGATTCAACCAAATATTTTGGAAACCATGTCTACAGAGTGTGTCTCGTACATGGACTACCCAGTCTTGCTCTTGTCTAACGGCTTCGTGATATGCTTTCTTAACTATTCTGTCATCAGGGAGGTTGTTTAATCTTATCCAATATTTGATCAGTTGCGTCTGGATATCTATGTACAGTGGGAATACGCCTGATTCACCCCTTACAGCAGCGTTAACTGAGCTTTTAGGGACGCGGAGAAGTATCTTACAGAAGTTTAGCAGAACGTATTCTAAGTCGGAAATCTCGTAAGAAATAGTAGGCTGGACTACTGTTATGTTTTGGTTAGCTAGTGTTTTGGAATGATATATAATATCTAACTTGTCATTGTAGTTACTAAGTCGGATAAGAATAGGGCGGTTAGAAGATGACATAGATGGATCGGCTTTTTTCCCTACACGGTGAGCCTTGTTGAAATTTATATCTCTGCCCAATATCGGAAATATAATTATTGGATACTAGAGTTCTTACGTTTTTCATTGGGACATTCAGTAACTCCGTTGAGAATGAGATCTCGTGACTCACATCTTGTCGAGCAGTAGCAGTAGTAGTAGTAGCAGTAGACTGTACTACAGCAGTACTAGCAGTAGTAGTAGTACATGTAGTAGTAGTAGCTATAGTACGAGTAAAAAACTCACATCTTGTCGAGCTGTAGCAGTAGTAGCAGTAGTAGTAGTAGCTGTAGCAGTAGTAGTAACTATAGTACGAGTAAAAAACTACACATCTTGTCGAGCTGTAGCAGCAGCAGCAGTAGTAGTAGCTATAGTACGGGTAAGAAACTCACATCTTGTCGAGCTGTAGTAGTAGTAGTAGTAGTAGCAGTAGTAGCAGTAGTAGTAGCTATAGTACGAGTAAAAAACTCACATCTTGTCGAGCTGTAGTAGTAGTAGTAGTAGTAGTAGCAGTAGTAGCAGTAGTAGTAACTATAGTACGAGTAAAAACATCTTGTCGAGCTGTAGTAGTAGTAGTAGTAGTAGCAGTAGTAGCAGTAGTAGTAGTAAGACTAAGAGTAAAAAACTCACATCTTGTCGAGCTGTTTGTTGACTTCCTCGTCGCTCTCGTAGTCCTTAATGAGCTGCGCCACCAAGGCCCCATAGGTCAGCGTAAACAACTCCGCACTCTGGGGGGGGAGGAAATTCATTTGTCTGCCTCTACTAGAACTTAACACATGGTTGTTGACTATTGACTAATTGAGCACAACAAGTTTTGCTGGTGCTCATAGACACTACAATACTAGCCTCCGTAGCAGACAGGCTTATAGAACTTGAATACGCTAGCGCTGCATGGGATCCGTACTACAAGGAACATATTCACAAGTTAGAATCGGTCCAGAAAAGAGCGGCCAGATTTGTTTCTAATACCTATGATACTTATGCTAGCACTACCAAATTGGTCACAGATTTAGGGTGGGACACATTAAAGGACAGACGCACAGCAAGTAGACTCACATTACTTCAGAAAGCAAGACACTCAAAAACAGCCCTTCCGGTCAAAACCTTGTTGACACCTATCCCGCGCCAATCGCGACACTTCAACTCCAACTCATACAAACCTCTAACGTTTCACAAAGACTGCTACAAATATTCATATTTTCCACAAACTGTCAGAGATTGGAACATTTTGCCCCAAGAGATATCTGATACTGCGGAACCCACGAAGTTCAACGCTGCAGTACTACAACACCTGAGGAAGCAGCAATAACGCATCGCACAGCTCCCCTGCACGTTTTACCCCAATCTAGGGGTGTTGTGCAGTACCTGAACAAGACAAGAAGACAAGAGTTTCTGATTAGCCTCCGTAGCAGGCTTACAGAACTGGGGGTTTGGTGGTCTTCGGCTGTTTTCTGATTAGCCTCCATAGCAGGCTTATAGAACTGGGGGTTTGGTGGTCTTCGGCTGTTTTCTGTTTAGCCTCCGTAGCAGGCTTATAGAACTGGGGTTTGGTGGTCTTCGGCTGTTTTCTGATTAGCCTCCGTAGCAGGCTTATAGAACTGGGGGTTTGTGGTCTTCGGCT